TAAAAACTAACACAAAAGAGCTTTCCGAATTAAAATTAATGCCTTTTTGACTTAGATATGAGATTTTTAAGCATTGGTTAGTTGAATAAATTGTGGTATAAAAATATAACTAAATATTGGCTCAAATAGAGGTATTATTATTTTAAGCAAAAGCTTGTAAAGCTATGAAGGAGTCATTTCCGACCCTATAAATCATATATATTCTTGATCAGCATCAAAAGGCAAATCGATCTAGCTATATCAGAAAGAAAACTAAAATTTTAAAATTTTTTTTTCAAATTTTATAATCGAATTTTCATCATACAAAAATTTATAAAAATTGTAATTGTTCAAAATATTTAATTAAGTATGCAGATTTATTAACCTACTAAAAACAAAAACAGGACAGCTTTCCGAATTAAAATTAATGCATTTTTGGCTAAGTTATGCATTTTTTAAACTTTGATTTAATTTCTTAAGGTAAATTCAAAAAGACTTTTGTATGCTTTTCTATTGTCTTTTGAAATAATTCTTTTCTGGAGATACATTTCTCCCTGTGTATTAAGCACCCTTTTCCCCTTTTGATAAGCAGCATCTCTAGTTTTCCACGAAACCTCCCTTGAATACCAACCCTCTCCCCTTCAGGAGGCAGCCTGTCGCCCCCTCCTCTGGTTCGCTGATTGTAATTATGAATGAAATTTGAATTGCAAGCGGAGAATTGAGAAACGGAGAAACGGGGACTGGGAATTGGCTACACTTTCCGCTGCAGTCGATGGACACGTGGCCGCTGCTCCTGATCCCCGGTCACGTGGCCAAACTCAATCCTCCCAACCCACCCAAGGACAACCCCATGCAAAATCCCTCCCCCAAGGCAACCAACCTCCTTGCCCAATGACGACGGAAGTGCCAATAAGTAGTTGTCAATATTGACAGATTATCTCGACACGGTGAAAGTGGGAGTGGAAATGGTGAAATGTTGAAATCGGGCAGTCGTGATTGCGAGTTGTTTGAGACTTAAGCGGAAGTAAACATAAATCACTGCTGCGATGCCGGCGATAGGAGGAAGGAAGGTCTCTTCTCTCTACTCGACTCCCTGCAATTATTTTGCCAGGAGATGGCAATAATTTCAGATGGCAGGCGACAGGAAGAAGCTGCTACCATTTAGTTCCATCTCCCTGCCATCTCAATTCCGGCAGGAGATGCGCATAATTGCATTTGAATGGCTAGCTGCACTCCCAGCTTAGCGATGTAACTCCGAGGGATGAACTAAACGATGATTTTATCAATCACTAGGATTACCATTCGATTTGTGGACAAAGATATACCACATACACTCCTGTTCATAATTATACGACACCTATGAAATTTTTGTTTCAGCGGTCGTAGGAGAATGGAAACACACAGTAGATCAAAATAAAGTATGACGAATAATAGCACAAGGAGTTGTGCACAAAATGCGCTATTCGTATCCTTGCTTGCATCACTCGTTTTCAAGTAACGGTAAAAAATGCACACACGCCCTGATTTAGGCTACCCAGAAATTGTTTCAAAATGATACGACACATTTCAATTATTGCGGCTAAAGAGGAAGGTTTAGTGTTTATTGTTTTTTTTTATAATTTTGTTAAATATTTTATTCATTTTTTAATAAAATGCCGCATGGTAGCTTATTAAGCGAAGGAGAGAAGGGAAAAATTAAGGCGTATAACGAGTCTGGCTTTAATGTTAGCCAAATATCCCGGCTGATGGGTCGAACACGCTGTATTATTACCAAATTTTTGAAAAATGTGGATGGGTACGGTGTCAGGCGTAGCTCTGGAAGAAAGCCGGAGCTATCTGATCGCGACAAACGTCGAGTATTTAGCAATGCAAGCAATTCTTTTTCATCGTGTGCCTCACTTTCTGCGTGTTGCAGTCGTCCTGTGTCCCGTAGGACTATCTGACGAACATTGCTAAGCTCCGAAAATATTGTAAGAGTAGTTTTTAAAAAAATTCCGATATTAAAACCGCAGCCCAAAAGAGCACGACTTCAGTTTGCCGAAAACAATTAGGAAACAAACTGGACCTCAATATGGAATTTTAACTCAACTTTGGTTATAAAGGTTTTTGTCAATATTTCACATTTTAGATAATTTTTTCTGATGAGAAAAAATGTAATCTTGATGGCCCAGATGGGTTTCGTCCTAATTGGCTTGATTTGGGTAAGGATCCCCTTATGTTCCTAACATGCAATTTTGGAGGCGGATCAGGTATGGCTTGGGGAACCTTTCATGCGGTTGGTACGCTTGAACTGTGCTTTACAAGCTCAGAAATTAAAAGTCCAGACTACAAAAATGTGTTACAAGATCGTCCTCTGTAATTTTCGGATCAGAATAAGGACCAAAATTATGTCTTTATGCAGGATAATGCAAATGCAAAGAGACGCAACGGTTCGTCAATGACAATAAAATGAATATTTTGGATTGGCCGGCTTGCTCTCCTAACCTTAAACCGATTGAAAACATCTAGGGTATCTTAGCCAGGCGAGTTTACGCCAACAACAACAAATTTCAGACTGTTAAAAGTCTCAAAAATGAAATTTTAAGACAATGGTCTCTCTTGGATCAAAATATCTTAAAAAACCTTAAAAATTCAATGCCTAAAAGAATTTTTGAAGTGGGAAAAGCACAAGGCGCCGTTATAAACTATTAATATTTAGTTATAAACAATTAAACCAATAAAATATTAGCTGTAAACAAAAATAAAGAAATGTGTCGTATCATTTTGAAACAATTTCTGGGTAGCCTAAATCAGGGCGTGTGTGCATTTTTTACCGTTACTTGAAAACGAGTGATGCAAGCAAGGATACGAATAGCGCATTTTGTGCACAACTCCTTGTGCTATTATTCGTCATACTTTATTTTGATCTACTGTGTGTTTCCATTCTCCTACGACCGCTGAAACAAAAATTTCATAGATGTCGTATAATTATGAACAGGAGTGTATATCCTGATGGCTCTGATTTGGGGGGCAAGGATCTGCGTGGCTTATCTGAGTATTAAGGGTCAGGGAAATATATAGTAAAAGGGAGAGATATTCCAAAATCACAAGCTCTGGAAACAAGAAAAGACTCTGGAACCTTCGCTCATGAAATTATTAAAAATAAACTTAGCTTAATGATAAGTATATTTACAATATGACGAAATCATTTATCCATAAGCATAAGAGTGAGTTACGCTTATCGAAAAAGAATGTTTGCTTTCAGCTCTCAGTCGGGGTTTAGCTTTTCAGAAATGTGGTTGTCGCCACAATGGAATTTCTGTGCGTTTTGTCAGCAATCTTTGCGTATTTCATTCATCAAGCATTTGGATTCTGTGAGAGGCCCACGGACCTTATACATGGCTCTGGCAGGAGTGTTTTCAATAATAAATGGATATTTGAATGTGATCAAGGTTATGCAATTCAAGGAAGATCAGAGGTTACTTGTATTAATGGTTTACTGAGAGGAGAACGACCATTCTGTGCCAGTAAGTGTAAGAAGTGTAAGAACGAAGTTTCAGAGAATTCATTTTGTAATATCTTTATTAATCCCTTTCTGTCAGAACCTGGTTGTAAAGAACTTGAAAATCCCAAAAATGGAAAACTTATCAACCCGGAAGGATTAAAGGCAGAGATCAAGTGCAACAACGACTACGTTTTGGTTGGTAATAAATTCACTTATTGCGATGGCAACGACTGGCAGATCCGTTTGGGAACTTGCCAAGGTACTCAGAACTATTCCTGCGATTTCGAGAGAGAAGATCTCTGCGGTTGGACTTTTCCCCATAGTAAACCGCAACCTTGGAGCCGTATCAGCACATTGTTCAATTTCCATTCCACCAAGACGGGTTCCCAGCGAGATCACACCTTTCAGAACAATGGCGAAGGACACTTTATTCGAATGGAAACACAGAGCGGAGCTACAGGAAATTATCACTTTGAGTCTCCAGTTTTTCCGCAGCATCTGAGCTTGGGGAATACCACATGTTTTCAGTTTCACTTTTTCATGTTTGGCGAAGGAGTAGGAAGTCTGTTTGTTTCGGTGAAACCAGCGTCCATGTCCGTTGTTGAAATGTGGGAAAAGTTTCAGAACCAGTAAGTAATTCGAATCTTAAGTAAATAAAATATTAAAAAATGTTTTTGTATAATTTTCAGCTTCACCCAATTCCAAAAGTGTGGAATTTGGGCAACAAATGGTATGAACACTCCATTCCCATTGCTGAAATGGATGAGGATTTCCAGGTCGTATTCACAGTCACGGACGCTCAGTCTCGTTTTGGTGACATTGCCATCGATGATGTCAGGTTTCTGATGACGGACGAAGAATGTAAAGAAGCCTTTGTCGTAAAAGATCCTTGCCTCCCCAAACCTACTATTAATAGTGGAACAATAAACATAATTAAGTTGCACATTTCTAATTTAGCTTTCATTAGTTTAGCAGTATTTATAATGTGGCTTTAAGATTATAAATCAATGAAGAATTTAAGCATATTAGCTAAAGAAGCCTAAAAGATAAACGAAATATATAAGTTGTAATAAATCAAATATATAAATAACCGTTCAAGTATTTAACAACATGGGGCACATTTTCAGTAAGTTATCAAACCTATTACACAATTTTGAATAATAAAAAAAAACATCAAGGTCAATTGGCAGTTATTGCATTATTATTGCTTGCTTTCTCGCATTATTTAATAAATTTATCTGAGCTACAGTGAATTCTGAATAAACAACAACATGGGTCTTATCTTTAGAGTAATGCGGATCCGGAGACCAGGCCACCCGGCATTTAGCAATCGTTCGAGAACTTGGTACGATATCTCTCTCCTCTCATTCGGTTGTAACATAAACAAGTAGCCCGGACTGGGATTTATCGGGATAATGTCGTATCTTCAAAGAGAAGTCCAAGCCGGCACTGGGTTTTATTTGATAACTCCGAACTCGGACTCGGTCTCGAGCTCAGTCACTCTTCCGCTTTTGAATTATCCACACGTTGCCACAGAATGGAATTTTACTGGATCCTCGGATTCGGATTGCTCCTTATTTACGGTGCAATTCCCACAAATGGACGCTGTGAGAGGGGTTTGGTCTTGCAGCATGGCTCCGTGATGTTCCGGGCCAGAAATATGGTTCGTTTCCGGTGCAATCGTGGCTATACGCTCGAGGGAAATCAGATTGCGACCTGCGATAACAATGGTCGCCTCAGGGGCGAGAGACCCTTTTGTGCCAGTGAGTTGGAGGGAATATCCGTAGACTAATGTCAGTTTCAAGATACTTTTGTTTCTCGTAGAAAGTGGTTGCCCGGAGCAGGATCCAAAGGTCACCGGGATCGTGTTAAATCTTGGTAAAAAGTCCGTAATAGTTTGCCGTGACGGTTATGTCCTGGTGGGCAATCGGGCTGCATACTGCGATGGAGAGCAGTGGAACACCGAGCTGGGAACTTGCCTTAGAAGTAATTATACCCAGGATCATTCCTGTGACTTTGAGAGTGAGGACCAGTGCGGTTGGGAAACGGAGACAACATTCCGGCGTCCCTGGAAACGAGTTAGCACGGTGGCCGAATTCCATTCGGTGAGGACGGGACCCCAGCATGATCATACCTTCCGGAACAAGTCCGGTGGTCATTACATGCGCATGGAGACAGAGAGCGGAGCCTTTGGCAGCTATCACCTAATCTCACCAATCTATCCCAGGGCCTTGAGTCTGAAGACAGCCTGCTGCTTTCGCTTCCACTACTTTATGTATGGCGAAGGAGTCGACAGTCTGGTGGTGTCCGTAAAGCCGGTCTCGATGTCAATGGCTAACATGTGGAATCGGTTCAGGGCCAAGTAAGTTTGCTCGTCAACGGATGTGCACTGCGATAAGAGCAAGCACACATGCCATGAAGAATAGTTAGGGAATCACCAAAAATTATGTTATTCTTGGTGCTTAAAGATACATATATTTCTACATTCACCCTGATTAAATATGTACAACTTTTTCGCCTTTAGCTCCAGTAAATTCGAAATGAACGGCTCCCAGGGCACCGAATGGCTGGAGCACACGATCACCATCGATGAGATGGAGGAGGACTTTCAGGTGGTTTTTACGGCCACGGATGCCCGAGCCCGTTTTGGGGACATCGCCATCGATGATGTTAAGCTAATGACAGGCAAGGATTGTGGAATGGGTGAATTCACCACAACCACGGAGATAACAGATGCTACCGAACCGGAGCTATTTTTTCCATGATGAACTGCACCGGTCGATGTGGACAACCGATAAATCCAGGAAGGATTGTTATATTCTCCAAAAGGGGCTTGACTTTGGGCTGTGGCTGTGACGATGACTGCACGAACAATGATAATTGTTGTTTGGACTATGTTGAGGAGTGTGTGAAGGGAATATATTCATCGCCCAATGATTATGATGTAACCTCCCCAATACCTACGATTACAACAACAACTACACCTACAACTAAACCAACAACTACAAAAACTACACCAACAACTACAACCACGACAACAACTACGACTACTACAACTACACCAAGACCTACAACAACAACAACCAGAACAACTACTACGACTACTACACGAAACCTATTGTAATAACCACTAGACCAACAACAACAACTACTTCAACAACACCTAAGCCCACAACAAAAAGAACAACCTCCAAGAAGCCAATAATAACAACAACAACGAGAAAAGTTCAAGTGAACACAACAACAACAACACAAAGAACAACAACTAATAAATGATTAAAACGACAACCTCGAGTACCTCAACAACTGGAAAAATTATTACAGACCCGACAACTGTTAGTACCAGACTTATTAAAGGTAAGAATATAAAATTACCATTATTTAATTATCTGATTTAACGAATCCAAAATTGTATTATGATAATATTATACATCATATATATCTGAAACCCGATAGTCAGCACCACTGAGCCGACAAAGAAGCGCATTACTTGGAAGGTAGATCCCGACGATATTGCTGGGCATATGCCTGTTCATGGAAATTCACCCAATCCGGCCTTGATGGTGTTATACCTTCTCATCGCTGTTGTTCTGGTATTAGTCCTTGGCAATATCGCCCATCGATGGGTAATACCACTGGCCGATGGAAACCGCCGGAACGAGAAGTCAGTTAGCTTCAAGAGAGCAATCGCCGGGTTAAGGAAGCCGGGTAGATTTTCCAGAAATCGTAGAAGTGGCATGGATCAGCCATTGTGCGATACCGATAACGAGGATGGTGATTACTTCGAAACGGACGGCACGAGATTCGAGGAAATGGGCGTGGACATACGGAATGGATCGGATCTATAAGGGCCCCGCTGGGTCTCTAAAAAACCTCTTCAATAGGGGACGCCCTATCAACATTGTACATATATGCCTATAGTATAGGAAAATTTGTAAACAATTTGTGCAAGAAAAATTACCATACAATAAATTTTGTGAAAGAAAACTCAAAACCCTCAAGATATTAAAAATTGTAATAACATAAAACACATATTTATAAAACCCTATTGTTTTGTAGAGAAGAACTAAAAGATAGTCATTTATTTTGAAGAGAATGTCAATCAATAATTACGTTTTAATAGCCATAATTTATTCTGCCAAGCAATTAAAGCATATTTAAATGCGAACAATTAAATGATAAAAAAGTGACAAGCCATTTTCAAACAAATTCATCGACAACCAGGCATTGCCTAAGCGTGTGCATTGAAACGGATCGAAAATGTTTCAAATTTTATATTATTTGGCATAGAATTTCTTTTTAAATGTTTAAAAATCAAGAAAAATAACGTGTACATAATATTTTGTACACATATATTACTGTAATTTTTAGAAATAATCATATAATGGAACCCCATTAGCTATTTTAAACTTCCATAAACATTAACGGTGACCCTCTTGCTTCCATAGAAATACCAATTACTGAAGAATCCATATTCGCCTTTTGGGAATGGCAAAATCTTCGTGAGTTGATCGTTCATGTGCGCAATGGATACTTTGTCGATTATAACAGTCTGCAAAATGCATTGAATCATAATGTAAGGTATATATTTTCTCTTTAGATGTACTCACTTCAAAGGGACAAGTATGATTTATATTGGAAAATGGTAAGAAAAAGCTATAAAAATATGTCGCCACTGGTGATGAAGTTGGATTCTTTAGAAGTTTGCAAGCATCAACTGTGACGTTATACAGAAATGGTTTATAACCATTGAGTTTTTTATAAAAGGCCAGATTAGCCTGCGTACATACATTTTTATCATACCTTGATTTTACTGGTGGGCCCTTGAAGCAATTTAATTTTTATGGATGCATATTTATATGTTCGATTTACAGATTTTAAAAGACAGTATTCAAAAGAGCAGAAGGATTCACCAAAGCAAGTGCAATTAATATTTGTAAACTCAAAGTCGGAGTATGTCTTCAGAAAAAGAGAGAGAATTAAGTTAGTGTTTAGAGAATTAATGTTTGTAACCTACTTCACCGATCAGAAAAATAATCAGAAAACCCCGTATAAACACAGATGATTTGCGCGACATTGCGAGTTTAAATAAACGTACAAAGTGCGAATGAAATCACAGAGAATGATAAGTTGAACATATAATAGCTCCATTATAAATTGTTTAAAAATTGATGTGCTATTTATGTTCATTTATATTAAGCAATTGAGCGTACAATACAAAGCAGATTGATTTAGGATAGTGTGCCAAATACATCTACGGTGGCCCTCTTGATCCCGTAGGAATACCAAATACTAAAGAAACCATAATCGCCTGGGGGAAATGGCAAGACCTTTGTGAGTTGTTCATTTATATGGGAAACGGGAGCTCTGTCAACTATAATGTCTTTCTGGAAAATGTACCCAATAATAAAATGAGCTATACATATATTTTTATCCTCAAAGACTACTCACGTCATAGGGACAGGAATGATTTATATTGGAAAAGGGTCCAAAGAGGTTGTAAATAAATGCAGCCACCGGAGATCCCTTTTGTTCTTGATAAATTTACAACCATCGACGGTGACATTGTAGAGGAATGGATGGTAGCCATTCAATCGTTTATAAAGAGCAAAATTTATCTGTAATCGTTATGGGGATCAATTAATGTTTCCATTCAAATGTAAAACATACTTTTATTTTATATGCAGGCCCCTGTTGTATAACCGCCTTTATAGATCCATATTTATAGGTTCGATTCATAGACTTCAGGAGGCAGTGGTCAACGAGCAGTAGGATTCATTCAAAGAAGCGCACTTAATATTTGTAAACTCGAAGGCTGAATGGGTCTTTGGTTAGGTTAAACATTTTACAAGGTTAAACATTTTACAGAAATACGGTTTGTAACCTTCTTTACTGATCAGAAAAATCCAAATAAACGCACTGAATTTGCCAAACATCGCGACCGTTGAAAATCGTGAAAATAATGTTTAGGGGAAACATTTGTAACATATTTAATATACATACTGTTCGGAATAGTATTTAAGCCACATGAACTACAAACAATTATTTAATTATTTAGCAAAGATTTAATAACCTTTCAATCAGATATGCATAAATAGATTAACTAGTTGGAACGGGAGGCATCAACTTGGTTATATAATATATAATTGGACAGTTATTACGCTTCAAAAGGCATTGACCTCAATTGTAGTTATGGTAACAACAACAGAAATGATTTAGTGCTGTAATCTTCAAACAAAATGATCTAGGATAATGTTCCATAAACATTAACGGTGGCCCTCTTGATACCGTAGGAATACCAAATGCTAAAGAAACCATATTCGCCTGGGGAAATGGCAAGACCTTTGTGAGTTGTTCATTTATATGGGAAACGGGAGCTCTGTCAACTATAATATCGTTCTGGAAATGCAGCCAATAATATGCGGAGCTATTTATTTCCCATCTAGATTACTCACGTCATAGGGACAGGAATGATTCATATTGGAAAGGGGCCAAAGAGGTTGTAAATAAATGCAGCCACCGGAGATCCCTTCTGTTCTTCATAAATTTACTACCATCGATGGTGACATTGTAGAGGAATGGATGGTAGCCATTCAATCGTTTATAAAGAGCAAAATTTACCTGTAATCGTAATTGGCATTATCAATGGTTTCTCTAATATCAAGAACATACTTTTATTTTGTGTATAGGCCCCTGGTGTAGTTTCACCTTTAAAGATCCATATTTAAAAGTTCGATTCATGGACTTCAAAATGCAGTAATCAAAGGAGCAGTAGGATTCATTCAATGTGGTGCACTTAAGGTTTGTGAACTCGAAGACTGATTCGGTCTTTGGAAGCGGAAAATAAAAATCTAAGATATAAGGGCCTGAAGGATCTTTACAAACCTGACGAACAACAAAAAAAACAGAAGAGTCTGAATGAAAACTCGCGAAGCATTGCGACGGCTACGAATAAGTAACTGACTGAAATTTAAAGAAATAAAGTCATTTAATGACTGCAATTTCAAGACTGCAATTTCAGCCTGAATTATCACAGAAGATATAGATAAGCAAAGGAATATATATATTTATAAATCTCATTTGGAGTAATGTATTAAATAATAACCTTTTGTTCGAGTTTAATCAATTTCAAATGGAATTGCCTTTCGCCCGTTTTAATAATTTAAGACAGACATAAACAACTCAAGAAGATTGGCAAAAGGCCTTCTCAGAATAACTATGACTAACCCAATCAAATTAGGTTTTATTATGCTTATGAAGAGGGGAGAAATTTCCTTCACAAATGCTGGGCACAGGTGGAAAGAGGGTCTGCCATTGAACAAGTTAACCCCCGGGAATGAATCACTTTTGGGCGCATTTAACGAGCATCGAAAAGGGCCACGACTCCATATCCCCGGCCGATCTCCGTTGCCTCTCTAATCAAATCTTGTGGGGAGTGTCAGTTACTCGAAGGATTGCCCTCGGGCTCCTTAGCCTTCTTTTCCTCTAATTTCCCTCCTGCAGATGCTGATGCTGATGCGGCTGTCAGTCAGTCAGTGAGTTCCCCAGTCCGAAAAGCTGTGTGCCCTCGCCTTGGAATTCGAGTGTTGCACGTGTCCTGCCAGCGGCTGTTGCAACCACCGAGAAAAAAAATACAACCCAGAACCGGGGAACCCAATAGACAAACCCAAGCCAAAGCAACCACCAACCGAGTTTTCCCGAGTTTTCCGGGGGGCAGGCTCGTGTTTTAACAGCGGCTTTCGGTTGTGATTTAGTGGCAGCTTAGCGTCTGGCACGGGACCAGTTACAAGTAACCAGTTACCGCACTGCCTCCGCAGCATACCCTTTGCCATGCATTGAAAAAAATCCAATATAGATTTTCTTATATTACGTTTTATTAAGTTAAAAAACCCAAGAAATTAATTTTTTCTAATACTTTGAACGTTAACAAGTAGAAAAACAATTTAAATTTAAAAAAGACAAAGTATAATAATAAATAATTATTATTAGTTGAAAATTTAATTTTAAAGTTTTAAATGTTCCTGATATAAAAATAAATTATATAATGATTTTTTCAGCTCTTTACACTCTTCTGCTTCCAATTATTTTAAATAATTTTTAAATAATTAAGTACCCTTTTCTCTGCGTGTAAGAACGATTTGTGCTGCTCTCAGCAATATTATATATTTTCTGGGCATTTCATGCAATTATTGCCCCTGGACCAGACATATCCCAGACCGAGAATAGCGAGTTGCACGCTCAACAAATTTTCACACAAGATTTTCCAGCCTCGCTTTGATTCCTTCCCTCCCCGATCCACCAAAAAAATAGAAAATTCCTCACCCTTGTTGGGTTTTTTGGTTCCACCCCTTCCTTTAAATCCTGCTGCTCCCTGATTTTCTCCAAGCTCCGAGTTTTTCTTCCTGTTTGCCATTGTGATTTAACGCCGTTGCCGTCGACGTCGCCGTCGTTCTCTATCGACTTCTCACACATCATTTGGCTGCGGAAAATTCTCCCGTTTTCCTGCTGCTCATGTTTTCCTTTATTTTTTTTTTGCTTGCCCTTCTTTGGGTTTTAATTAAAAAGGCATTTTGATGATGGCAGACAGGAGGCGTGCCTCGAGTTGCTTTTGCCGCATTCTGGCCCTAATGCCCATTGAGGCCCTAATTAAATGGTAGTAAGTCGGCTTATCTGAGTGCTTGGATGGGTTAAAGATGGGCGGGTTTGGGTTGTGTATTATTTTTTCTTTTTGTATTCCTAACTGCATTGCATCGTAAATTTCACGGGGACAAATTTTTGCATGCCACCCAAATGTGGGGGGTCTTAGTAATAATGATGGGAGGGTTTTCCGGGTGGCGCCGGCTTATCTATCGCATTCCGGGCAAGCCCAACACACACGTTGCCGAGGAGGAAAAACGGGGAAAAAAAAACAGGGTAGCGCACCCTCGACACCCTGGGCTTTATTTCCCAGGTC